TTCTGTGCTCCCTCCCAGATTAGAAGTCACCACGGAGCACTATTACTAACAGTGTCAGATCCCTCAGGTGTATTGGGAAGAAGAAAAACTGATGTTTTTGGTTTATATTTTTAATCTTCCCCTCCATCCACCAAGCACACAAAAATTTGAAAGCTGCTTTGCTTTCTAGTGAAGAGGCTTTTCCTTGGATTTAAAAAGTAATTTGATGTCTCTTTTCAGGTGTATGAGCTCCCTGAGAATACAAAGCACTTGTTTCCATGTTCTGATCATTCAGAGATTATGAAGGCACAGTGCCTGCCTTTGATTGTTCACAGTGAGGTGGAGCAGGCACAAGTCAATGTTGCAGTATGTCTACTTACGTATTCTAAAAGAGGTGAGTGTGTGGCACTTAGCTTGGGAGAGGGAAGAAATAGTGCTTAGAAGAGGTGATTTTTTGAAAAGCTGTATAGGCATTAGTTGGACAAGGAAGGGGAGGTCCATTTTGAGTACCTAGGAATTTGTGGCTGGCTTATAAATTGTAAATGGTACAAAAGACAGTACCAAGTATCCTACACCTTTCTCCAGAATACCGTCCTTATCTTTAGATAGTGCTTCTTGTTTTTTCTTCTGTCTCTCTGCCCCTCTCCCCTTAATTAGATGGATGTTCAGAAGGAAGTATGAGGGGGCAGAATAATCCTTTTACCAAGAAGTAATGTATATACCCAGTAAGTCTGTCTCTAAAAGTTATGTTCCTCCTTTGTTAAAATGCACAGCTGGGAAACCTCAATTTTGTTAGTTGAGTACGTTCCCAGTGAATGGATTATATTCCTGTCTGCAATCCAGTCTGTTTCAAGTTAATGGTGTCTTTTAAACTCCTTTCAAGGAAGAGACCCACATTTAGGCTTAGGAAAGAATGGGAGAGACAGCAAGATTAGAATCCAAGTTGAGACTACAAAAAACACTTTTATTGGCTACATCTGAGCGATTACATGTTGTTTGAATCCGCTGTAAACTGTTTAATGTGTATAATTCAAATAAATGATAGTTTAATTCCACTGATTTGAGTAAGGTGAAAATAGAGCAGAAAAACTGCTTCCATTACAGTCTGGGAAAGGGAAAGAAAAACAATCAGTGAGTTGGGATTAATTTTTTTCTGGGGCTGGCAATAGCAGAAAACAATCAGTGAAGTAGTCAGACATGATATACTTGAAAAGAACCAGCACACCTGTTCAGTAGCACTCGAAAATTTAGGGCAGTTGTTGTGCCCAGGTCATAGTCACACTATATCCAGGAGACTTCTTAGTGACAGAAAGATGCTGACCTGGGGTCTTCTTTTCCAATAACAAACTCTTATCTTGCATTTAGATTAATTAACCATTGGTTATGTGAAGCAAACATATGTAAAGAGTTCAGATCTCTTAAAGCTTGAAGTTAGAAATGATCTTTCCTTGAACATCTTGAAATGTTCAAAGACCATGTTTTAAAAGTTGGACTTAGTTATGTTCTTCTGGAGACTAAGAAAATAGAGTCCTTGAAGTCAAGGTTACTCTGCTTTTAGCCTCCTAAATGAAAAGGTAGATAGAACAGGTCTTGTTTGCAAAATAAATTCAAGACCTACTTATCTACCAACAGCAATTATATACTTCCCATTGTCTTTCTATTGAAAATAGGAATAATGAGTTTATAGATAAGAAAGGTAGAGAAAGACATAGTGAACACATGAGAATCTTACTCTACTAATTGATAGGAAGGTGACTAGAAATTAGAGAAGCTGTTTTGGTAAGTTGAGGAGAGAGGACTCTTCCTGTAGCGCAGTCTTTGTAGAGTCCAAAAAGTTTTCTAATAGCTGAACCTTTCTGCAGAGAGACCAGTATAGTCTCATTTATGGAATGCCACACCACTGTGGGCATCTGCCAGTGTATGAGTTATGTAAAGTTATGTTTTGTGTTTTTGAGACAGTGTCTCGTTTTGTTGCATGAGATTGAGGGTGGTAGTGTGATCATAGATAGCTCACAGCAACCTCAAACTTCTGGCTCAAGCCATCCTCCTGCCTTAGCCCCCCATGTAGCTGGGACTACAGGCACTCACCACCGTGCCCAGCTAATTTTTCTGTTTTTTTGTAGAGCCAAGTGTCTTGCTGTGTTGCTCAGGCTGGTCTTAAACTCCTGACCTCAAGCAGTCCTCCCACCCTGGCCTCCCAAAGTGCTAGGATTACAAGCATGAGCCACCACACTCAGCCAACATTGTGATTTTAATGCCTTTTGAAGGACTGGAAGTATTAAGAAAAAGGCCCCCCTGCCCATGCATTTGCTCTGCTTTATACTGATGACCAAGTACATGCTTCAGAAATCTTTTATTAGATATATACATGTGATTGTGTATTGTTTGAACCAGCAGGAAGTTGATTATTAAACAAACTTTTCTAAATAAAAGACAATTTTATCAGAAACCAATGTAATTTTATTTAACCAACTTTCCAATTCTATCCGATAAGGCACCTTCACTTCTAAATACCGTGTTCTGCATTGCTAAGCCCATATTAGTTTAAATCAAGATTCTGTGGTGGTTTTACTCTCTTTCCCCCTTGGTAAGGTGGGGAGGCCAGAGCTTGTGTTAATGACTTGCTGGGAATTACCAAGCGACGCAGGTAAAGCTGAGAAAAGAACAGATTTGGGTATGTTTTAACTGCCCAGTATTGGGGATTGTGCCTACAATGGGTCTAAGTTTTAAAAAATCTTTTTCTGTTTTGTTTTTTAACAGATTTATCAGCAGGTTGCAGGTGAACATGGCCTTGAGGTAAATCCTGCCCCTTGTTGAAATTTAGTTTCAGCAGATTAATCATGGTATTTTAAGGAATTAGAGTATTTCACAAAAAACAAAAGTTCTGTTTGGTTCTGTTCTAGACTTATTTTTTTTTTCTAAATAAATGAGAAAGATGTTTCAACAAAGGTTCTTTATGCTGAATAACTGTGATGCTTGGTCATCTGCCTTGTGTAAGTGGATTTTAAATGTCAAAGACAATTCTAGACAGTTTTCTTGGTCAAATAAAAATCTTACTAAGACCTTAAAAGAGTCCAGTTTTTATCCATTTATCCACATTCATGTTAACATGTGAAGTACTCCATAAGGCCTGTTAGAACCCTGAATTCAAACTCCCCTTCTGTGTGATACCCTATTTCCTATTTGGCAGGTTCTATTTCAGTAGCTGAGAACATTTTTGAGTATACACACCCATGTAATCATTTATAACTTGAACCGTTTTGTGTTTACATCTGCTGTACCTTATTTCAGGGTAGGTGACCCAGCTTGGCAGAGCAGGTGTGTGTGGGGGTGGGGTGAGTGGGTCGTGTAATGAGCTATTGTCAGGATGAGTTGTTAATTCAGGAACCTGAGCTGCTGTTTATACCAGTAGGCAGAGCTCAGTAGGAGGTGAGAAGTGTTCAGTGGGTTAGACTGTGCGTGTACTGGAAAACATGAAAGTTTTAAAGTGAAAGACTTTTTCAGTTAACACAAAACCTTAAGTGATGAGATTAGGGCATCTCTGGGTTTAGAGAGGCTTCCATGGGGCACGATACAGAATTGTCTCTGATAATTGCTTCACACATGAGTTCTCTGTTGACTCACAAGCTTTGAAAATGCTGTTTGTGCAGAGCTTACGTGGTAGCTGGAAATTGGAAGTGGAGAACCAGGAATGCAGCTGATGGAGTTGGGCATCGAGGCAGGACGCCTTAGAGCTGCTGGCTCAACACCCCTCTTCCCATCAGCACTCAGCTCTGCCCTTTGGGGGGCTGATGATTTGTTTTTAAAAAATCGTTTTGCACTTGCAATATACCATATATTCTTAGGTGCTGTGAGTTTGTCATTGAGTCTCCCAGACCTGTGCGACAAGTATTTTTCCTTTTGTTTAAAAGGAAACAGCAGCTCTGGAAGACAAGGTGACTTTTCCAGGGTCATAAGGCAAAGCAGCTACAGAGTAGGAATCAAACATAGGTCTTCCGATTTCAAATCTGGTTCTTTTTACATTGCAGGACAGTTTGTAGAATCAGTTGTAACTAATGTTTTCTATTTTGTCTCCATCTATCCCCCCTCAACACACACAACAAAGCACCACATTTACATGTGTGCTGCTTGTAGTAGTAGTGTCCCATGTTTCCCAATCTTGCCATCGAGCCACAGAGGCCCTTCTGTTCCTTCATACTGCCTCCCCTCTGGGTTTTTTCCATCTCCAGGCCGTAGATCCTTTGCTATAGTTTTGACAGAGCCCTGCCATCCTTCCCTTGGAGAGCAGTGAGAGGCCACAGCAGTGGCTGGATGAAGAAGATTCTCATTTATTCAACAAATACTTGGTGTCAACTGTTATATGTTAGCCCTTGGGGATCAAGTGGTGAACAAAACAGATACTGTCCCTGCCTTCATGGAATTAGGCCTCGCAGAGGGAATTTCAAAGCTGGAGAGCAGTGTGAGTGCCATGAAGGAGCGGAACAGGGTGTTTGTTAGTAAAGAGTAGGGGAAGGGGGGCGTCACCACGCGCGGCTCACTACTGGGCAGACGGGAGGGGAGGCAGCATCGGGAAGGGGACGTGGCATCCCTGCTTCTCTGGCAGCCTCTTACCCTCTCAAGTCTGTTCTCACTGACTCATGAAATGTCACAAGTGTACTGGCTGCTGGAGCCGGTAAGACTTCGCCCCCCTCCCCCAAGCTCTGTAGGCCTTGGAGACTCAGGAGACTTTGCACGTGCACAAGTAGACAAATACAGTCTGACAACTTGAACGACTTGAGTTCATTTAGTCTGAGCCCTCATTGTGTAGCCGGGCCTGCTAACGACTGCCCTAGCGTCGCACCGGTGCACTGGACTAGACTCAGGTCAGGTGAAATGAGAGCCAGCACACTGGTCCGCCGGTTGGTAACATGAGCCATAAACGGTGCCGGGCACGTGGTGCTTGAATGCCAAGTTCAGCCAGCTGAGGTGGGAGTGGCCACGAGAGGGGTAGGTATACAAGACAGGAAACGACATCAGAATGGTCAGAAAGTGACATGCTTTGGCATTGAAATGCCATTATATATCTTCAGAAACCCGGGCTTTTCCAAAGAAAAACAGGGATGTACAAACTGGTGAAGCTGACATTTGAATGTGTATAGATGCTGAGAAATGTCCACATTGAAAAATGACAACTTTGAATTTTCATAGTCTAACAGAATGCCAATCTTCTCTGGGGGAACTGTTATTCTTATATCTGGAGTTGTTCTGTTGTGCAGAAATTCATACTTATGCCTGAAAATCAAATGTTGATAAAAACAAAGCTTCAGAAATTCTTCAGATGGACTATGCAGAACAGTTCATATTAATTTTATTCACACTCCTATGATTTTGTTATTTTCTTGTATTAAATGACTACCAAAGTAACAGGCCATTTCCAAAACTATACTCTCTAAACCATATCTCTTTTCTAAAATTTGTCCTAAGAAACATTTTCAAACTCTGTTCTCGAGCAGCCTCTCAACCTAAGAAACTCACATACAGTATCATGAACTCATATTGCATCAAAACTAGCACTGAAATAGAACACATTTTAAAAATTTGGATTTCAAGGCTCAAGTGTGTAACTCCTTTGTAATAAAGATGTTTGAAACAGGGAACCTTGGGATCTTTCATGTGATAAAATGGGCCTTTTGGTATAAGCTCTTCCGTGCACAAGTACTCCAGTTCTTAAACTTTCAAACTGAGCGGGGCATCCAATGAGCCTGTCGCTGATCGATGGCGCTACTACCTTTTAACCGTGCTGTGTATCCTGGGTGCTTTGAAAATGGCTGAAACCAAAACCAGCCACAGGAATCTCCTAACCCAGCTACCTGCAGACATTTGAAGAGCTCTGTGTGCCAGCATCCCGGTCCAGGCTGTGGGGATGAACACCTGGAATACGATCGGAGTGTGTCGGAGCAAGCCAGCCTGTCTCCATCTCCGTTCACCTTATCTTCTTTTCTTAACTAAGCAGCCACCAGAAGCTAGGAGTCCTTCCTTCTTCCTTCCCTCCCACCGCCAGCAGTCTAAGACTATGGAACAAAACATGAGTCTGCTGGGCGATCTTATTCTAGGATACCATACCCACATTCTCCACTCGCAGCACGCGCGCACGCACACACACACACACACACACTCATTCCTACATTTTTCCAAGGAGGATACAAGAAGCTGCTCTAGCACTTGGCCTGTTGCCTCTGCCCTTCCTTTGTCTTCTATCTCATGTTTCCAGCCTCTTCTATTTTGTCTTCTGCCCCCCACTCTTCCCACTGCTAAGTGTCCTTGATGCTCCTTCAGTTTTACTTTGCCCCTTACCTTTCTTTTTTTTGTTGTTGTTTTGTTTTGTTTTGTTTTGTTTTTTTGCGAGACAGTCTCGCTCTGTTGCTTGGGCTAGAGTACCATGGCGTCAGCCTAGCTCACAGCAACCTCAAACTCCTGGGCTCGGGCCATCCTCCTGCCTCAGCCTCCTGAGGAGCTGAGACTACAGGCACATGCCACCATGCCCTGCTAGCTTTTTTCTGTTTCTATTTTTAGTTGCCCAGCTAATTATTTCTATTTTTAGTAGAGACAGAGTCTTGCTCTTGCTCAGGCTGGTGACGAACACCTGACCTCAAGTGATCCTCCCACCTCAGCCTCCCAGAATGCTAGGATTACAGGCGTGAGCCACCGCGCCCGGCCTGCCCCTTACCTTTCTAAAGAATAGGAGACTTTGCTGTTTAGTCTTACTTCAGGCAGAATCCCCAAATAAAGTATTTGGCTCAGTACACAGTAATCCTTGCATTCCCCAAACTGGGTCTCAGGTTTAGTAGCATTCATTATAGTCTCAGTCTCTTACAGGGAAAAAGCTGGTCTTCCCACTTACACTTGGGCATGACAGATAATGTTTAAGTAACCACGTTGGAGGCTCATGGGCAGAGAACACTAGATGAAAATTAATAGGATTCATCAAGCCAAGGAGGGTGAGAGGCCCCATGTTACAAAAACGGTGTGGTTTTGGGGTTTCTTTTTTCCAATTTTTGAGGTGAAGGTTATAACCGTGGCCTTCTAAGTCTGAAAATTTTGCCCATTGCCCTGGGCTTCGAAGAATTTTTCCCCCAGCCATGTGGGGCTACACCACGTGTGGAGACCAAGTGCTTAGCAGCAGAAGCAAACTAGAATTAGCCATGACCATTAAGCCTTTTACCCACATTTGCTTAAAAAGATGGAACTGGGGCTTCAAATTAAACCATCCATGTAATAACACTGAAACGGAACATAGATGAAAAATCACTTGCTTAGCAGTTAAGAATGCAGTCATTAGAGCCAGACTTCTTGAGTTTGAATCCAAGCTCTGTTGGATAGCTTATCTAACTGCTGTGAGGCGTAGCCTTCTTATTTGTAAAGTGGGATAGTACAATTTTGAGAAGTAAATGAGATAATGCACGTAAGAGTAGAATAGTGCTCGGCACATAATGATCTCTCCATGAATTTTAGCTATTTTTACTCAAAGAAAAGCTGTTCTTTCTCTTCTCATCTGGACTTTAGGGAAAGTGGCTGGCAACAACCCCTGAAATATCTTAGAACATTTTGTAAAACATAATGTGGGCCTTAATTGTTATTAGTGAAAACCTCTCGCTCTAATCTTTCAAAAGCAAATTTTAGTCTTAGGTATCCAGATTTTACGTTACCTCGATGATGCAAATGTGTGCCTCATGCACCAGGAAAGGCAGTTTGCTCCTAGGTCCTCCTGTTTAGGGACATCTTCAAAGGCCACACCAACTGTGTAGTCCAAACACTCATCCACCTCCACTTCCCAGTAATGGCGCCCTCGGACTGGAATTAGATTTCCCAGGACAGCAACACACCTGGTTTTAGAAAGTGGAAGTGATAGGATGGCCTTGCTAATAAATTGACAGGGAAAAATAAATGATCTAACCCACAGTCTCTAAATAACAGCATGTACCTTAACTCCTGTCTTTAAGATTAATCACACCAGCTCTCTCGCTAATTGATCGCTTGTAGAGATGTTTTTATAGCAATTAAAAGGAGCTGAGCAGACAAAAGGAAAGTGTAAATTCTCCTTTGCATTCACAAGACTTCCCACAAGACCACATTCCAGAGAAGTTGATAAGCAGGTCTCCAGAAGGAGGAAAAAAAAGGAGAAACGGCTGCCAGCCCCTCCTGTTATTAGTCTGCAGCCAAGAAGGAAAAAGGCAGAACGCAGCAGTTTTACAGCTGCCTCCTGCTAATTAGTCCATAGCCACTTCTGTTACCAGCTGACAGCCATTGCTTTTTTTTTTTTTTCCCTTTCTTCTCTTTGCCCCATAAAAATCCTGAGCTGCTTCTGCTCAGGGCTGGCATTTCCCCTCTTCTCCTTTCGGGTGCTGTGCCATCTCTCCCCTCTCTCTCCTTCCCTCTCTCTCTCTTTATGAGAAAGTAAAATAAACTTTTTACTTCTTTATATCCTAATCTTTGCATTGAGAATTCTTTCTCCACTCATGTACAAATTCCCACCCTAACAGGAAGCACATGTGATTGCGGTACCCCCGGCCTTGGCCGTGCATGTGAGTGATGCCAACTGCTAATGTCAGTCAGCGGGTGATCTGTGAAGGTGGAGGGAGGTGCTTCTGGACGCCTCGTTTATAAAGCGCCCTTAGCTCACAAAGCTCAGCTGGCTGATGCTGAAGGTGAAAAGCAGATCATTGTATTGCTCGGTAATGGGAGAGGAGGGGACACGAGACCAAACCAATAGAACAGCTCTGTTTGCTCTTAAAAATGATTTGGGACTTTTTTTTGGAGACAGGGTCTCACTCTGTCACCCAGGCTGGAGTGCAGTATCGCAGGCATAGGTCACTGTAACTCTTGGGCTCAAGTGATCCTCCTGCCTCAGCCTCCCAAGTAGCTAGGACTACAGGTGTGTGGCACCATGCCCAGCTAATTAAAAAAATAAAATTCTTTCTGTAGAGACAGGGTCTCACTGTGTTGCCCAGGCTGGTCTCAAACTCCTGGGCTCCAGTGATCCTCCTGCCTCGTCTCCCAAAGTGCTGGGATTACGGGTGTCAGCCACACACCCAGCATTAGGGATTTTATGGTAATAATAAAGGTTTGGTTTACTTGTTCATAAAAAAAAAAAAAAAAAAGGATTGAAAACACAGACTACAGCACAGTCAAGGGAACCACGTGCTTGAAGTTCATGAACTGGCCTGCGCTTGCTTATGGTGCAAAATGAACATGGAGGGTCTCTGAGGTAACCCTAGTGTCCGGGATGAGCCCGGGTGGAAGACAATTCAGAGGCCAACCCAGGAAGAGCAAGACAGCAAATCCCTCACAAATCAGCAAAATCTACCTCCACGCTTGGCACTGGGAACAATTTTACTGACAAAGGTCAGAGTTACGTTTTGCTCTACGACAGCAGACTACTCAACAGAGGAAGGTTTTCATTTAAAATCAGATTACATCAGTATTTCCAAAATGAATGTTCTGCTTCCTTCAGGAGACTCCTGTGTTAACCAAAATTTATGTAGCCCCCAACATCCCTAGAAAGATTTGTTCAGCTGTCAGTAAAACTTTCTCTTTACTCTCAAAGCCCCACGTTCTGCATGCCCAGGCAAAGCTTCCGGAGGGAGGGTGCCCATTAGTTACCCCTCTGCCTCGGTCTCCTCACCCATACAATGAAGTCATCTCCACTCCAAGCTGCAGACCCACATGTCCACCTGCTGTTTCAAATTCAGAATGTCCTGGACGGAAACAGCCACATTCTCCACCCCTCTCACTTACCGAAGCTTGTGTTTGATGTTTTCTCCATTTTGGTTAATAGACTTACTAGCTACCCAGTAACCCAAGGCAGAAAATTAACACAGAAATAGCATCATGGCTACAAACTCAGCTTCGAGTTTTATTCCAGCTTCAACCCTTAATAGTATTATGCCCTTGGGCAAGTTACTTCTCTGTGCCTCGATTTTCTTATCTGTGATTGGGATTGATAACAGCATGGACCTCACAGGGTGGTTGTCAGGGTGAATGAGATAATCCATGCAAAGGACTTGAAGCACAGCCAGCCCCTGGTGAGCACTCTGTAAATACAGCAATGACATTATAGTCCCTGACTCATGCCCCGCTCTGTTGCCCTCTAAACAGCCGGCCACCTAGCCTGTTGGTTTTATGTGCTAACTGGCTTTGAATCCCCTGGCTCCTCTCATGCATCCTGCTGTGTAGTCGAGGCCTCCACAGTTCCTCATTTCCCACCTGCTTCTCCCTCCCCAGCTCACCCTGCACCACGCACTGTCTTTCTGAAATGTTAGTCTGTTCCTGCCGTTCCCCTGCTTTAAATCTTCCAATAATTCTCGCCACCTTAAGGATAAAATCCAAAGGTTTTTTTGGTACTGGACTGTATCTGTCTTTCCTGCCTCATCTTCTGCCTCTTCTGATTATGGACCCTACCCTGCAGACACGCTCAGATGAGAGCTTTCTCGCTCCCTCCATCTGTACACGCGCAAAGTACTCATCTGCCTGTTGGCCTGGAGAACTCTTATTTATCCCTCAAGACCCTGTCCCTCCAAGAAGTCTTCGTCCCTGTGGGTCCCACGATGCCTTGTCCATACGTCTACCTCATCTTTTACATGTGTGCCTTTCACATGTGCATCTTCCCCCTTGAAGATGACTCTTGGGTGGGCAGGGATTGTCCTCTTTATTTTTTTACACCCAGCACGCAGCAGTGTTTCACAGGGCAACGGTATATTGGTAACAGGGTATCAAAATGTACTCTAACTCGGCTGGACCCCATAAAGCCAAGCACAAAACAGTGGGCACTGAAAGCCCTAGTTAGAGCAGTTATTTCAAGGTGAGATGCTAGACCACCTAAGCAGAACTTGCAGATGGCCAAAAAATGGTTTTGCGACTTTTAATGCAACACCAAGAAGTTGAAGATGCTGGAGGCTTTGTCCAGAGAGCTTTCTTACAATTCACACAAAGGAAGAGTGAAGCAGCAGTGGCCTGGTCCGAGGTGTGTGTTTTCCCAGGACCAGGTGTGACCAGAACACACCATAGGAATTGTGTCCCAGTGTTTTGTTTTGTTTTGTTTTTGATGGAGACACAGTCTCGATCTGTTGCCCAGGCTAGAGTGCTGTGGCATCATCCTAGCTCACAGCAACCTCAAACTCCTGGGCTCAAGTGATCCTCCTGCCTCAGCCTCCCGAGTAGCTGGGACTACAGACATGTGCCACCACACCTGGCTAATCAGCTAATTTTTTCTATTTTTACTAGAGACAGGGTCTTGCTCTTGCTCAGGCTGGTCTCAAACCCCTGAGCTCAAGCGATCCTCCCGCCTCGGCCTCCCAGAGTGCTAGGATTCCAGGTGTGAGCCACCTTGCCTGGCCCCCAGGATTGTTTTTGAAGAGATCCTGCCCAAGAGGGCTTCCTGTGAGGGTCCAGGAGACCTCAGCGGAAGAAGGCTAGGGTTGTGGTGTTGGACGCGGAGGCTGATGGGCTGTGAAGGGCCCCGAGAGGCAGGGGGCTGCCTGGGGCCTACAGCTGCGCTCAGAGGGCTCAGCGGGGCCTACAGCAATGCCCGTGAGAAAAGTCAGCTTTAAACATTGCTTTGGTGACAGTCATGTAAGACCTTTATTGCTTCTTACTCCTCGCTACATACCCCACCCCTGGGTTGAATGAGCAGAGGAGGGAAAGGATAAAATTATTTTCCTCTAGGAGAAGAAATGAAATTTTATCTGAGGAATGCAAGTCCTCTTGATTTCAGGCCCAGGGAGACATTCAAATGAGATCACAATCACATCCTACTCCTCACTTTGAGCTATGTGTTCCTCTCTTGAAGCTGCTTGCTATCGCCACAAGCTGCTATAAATTAACCTAACGATGCCCCACTGGACACTATACCCCACATCCTATAGCTCAGCAATGTACAGCCAATCCCTAATCAGTGTTACTTCTGCAGGCCAAGGAGAATTCCCAACAAACAAGTTAGTATCGGCCCACCCTTGTCCCCCTTTTTGCCTTTTAAAATGCACTCCTAACCGCTGCTGATCCGAGCGCATACTCAGGGCAACGTGATCTATGCTCCCAGGTTGCAGTCCTCAAGCTTGGCCCAAATAAACTCTCTACTTACATTAATTTTGCTGCAGTTCTTCCTTCTGAGTCAACACTTCTGTACCCTGCAGAGTTGTGTTGTTTCACACTGAAGCTACTCATAGTAGGCCGTGGCCCACGTGCAGCAAAAAGGCCAGCAGGAAGCCAGGGTCAGTGGAAGAGCCAGCAGAGAGGACTGCCCAGCTCCCAGACAGGAGGGGAGGATGCAATTTCCCATCAGTGGCCCTTCCGGCCTCATAGGAGTTTGCTTCCTTAGAAGATCCTCCTGACTCTAAAATCAACCTACCAGGAGCTTTTTGCCCTGACTACCAGGAAGCTGAGGGGCCACGTTTAATGCTTAATCCTGGAAATTAGCCCTTGGAGTTAACCTGTGTTCTTTTTTTCCCCTATTCCTTTTTTATTTCAGGATTGTATGTTTGTTCCAGATTTTAACTGTTTCATAAGTCTTTGGAAAGAAGTAAGGAATCAATCACTTCAACATTTATTGTGTACCAAGCCCTAGAAGCAGCTGGAGAGCCTGCCAGCCAGCACGTGGGCGGCCACCGCTCCCTCGGGCCCTGTGCCACAGCGAGGGCTTTGCAGCAGGCTCGCTTCACCGCCGGTTTTTCCTCGGGAGCTTTGGCACCAGGTACCACCGTGTCGGGTGGGGCACCAGGCAAAGCGGCAGCACACCGGGGTCCTTGTTTCTGCTCTTGCACCTCACGCGGCGCGTCCGCCCCCCGCCGGTCCCGCCGCCCGCACCCCTTCCACACCCTGCCGCCCCACCAGGCCCCCACCACCTCACGCATTTCCGGGATTCCTCCCCCGACCCCAAGGGCTGCATCTGGGTGTCCCAGTCGGATTTTGCCCGCATGTCAGCGTGTATTAGGGACGTTAACGAAACCTTGCGCGCGCTTGGCGACGTACCTGGTAAACCGGCCGTCGCTGGGTCGTGGCTCCCTCGCAGGGGTTTTCCTTTCGCTCCGGGCGACTGTAAGCCCATCTTCAGAAACGGTCAGCCAGGGATGGCAGGTGTCCTTGTTTAGGTGAAAGTAGCTTCCTGCGGGGGAGGGAACACGCGGAAGACGCCAGCCAATCACTCCTGCTCTCTCCACCGGGCGCTGCACGTGGCTCTTGCTCTGCGCATGGCTGGGCGTAGCTCGGGACGCACGCAGCCTGCGCCTCGCATAGTGGCAGCCTTCCCAGGCTAAGGACGGCAGTTAGCGCGTAGCGGGCGGTGCTTCTGTGCCTAGTACTGAGCTAAGCAGTTTGCAAGTCTTATCTCCCTAAGTGCTCACAATTACCCCCTAGAAACAGGCGTTACTTTTCCATTTTGCAGATGAGGATGGTTAAGAAATCAGCTGGTAGATGATAGAACCCGAACTTGAACCCCAGCTGCTCCGATTCCAGAGACTGTGCTCTTAACTTCCACTGTAAATGCCTGCACATGGACAAGGGTGTCTAAACTACTTGCCAAGGGGAATGGGGGGCGAGGGACTTCTTAATGACCCCTCTGACAAGGGTTGGCAAAATTCAACATTCAGCTTGCAGCTAGGGCAGTGGGGGAGAAGGAAGGAGATTAGAGTCATCCCCAAATCATGGTTAAAACAAAGCTCATCAAAAGGTGGTACAGGACAGAGCTAACAAAAAATTATTTATTTAAAAAAAATCCAGTCCTCTCTCTCTCTCTCTCTCAACAAGGTCTTGCTCTGTTGCCCAGGCTGGAGTGCAGTGGCACAATCACAGCTCATGCAGCCCCCATCTCCTGGGCTCAGTGATCCTCCTGGCTCTGCCTCCCAAGTGGCTGGGACTACAGGTGCGTGCCACCATGCTTGACTAATTTTATTTATTTTTTTTGTAGAGATGGGGTCCTCATTCTCCATTATTGTCTCTTAGCCAAGCTCTTCTGTTCCTAAGTTACCATTCTGTCACTTCTTATTTTCTCAAACTCTAGTTCAAGCATCACCATCAAACTGTTCAGTTATTTTCACAATTTGATGCTACTGGAAATTTCACTTGCTCCCCGAGCTGACTGTTGAGGGGGAGGCATGTTCCCGCCTCGCAACCAGCACAACGCGTGGTTCTCACTGCCTCCCCCCAGTCTCAAAACAAAGATCACTTTTGAATACGTAATTTTTTTTGCCGATTTAAGTTTCTTATAAATACACTCTTAAAATATTATTTGAACAAATGACGAAGAGACAACTGAATAATCAAGAGCGGGCGGTGCCTCTTGCTCTATGTTCTCTTTTATCAAAACAGCCAGAATTTGACATCGCAACACCAAGTCAGCACTGGCATCAGAGGGCCAGACAACTGAGGGAGGCCCCAGCACAAAATACAAGAAAAACCTGGGTCCTAAATCTAGCGCTAATCCCTGCCAGCTCTGGACCTTCGGTGGCCCCTCCACTTGCTTCTCCCATCTATGTGGAAGGAACCGGGCAGTGCCCCTTGTCCGGGCTTTCACTGTCCGTGGTTTCAGTTACCCGAGGTCAACTGCAGTCTGAAAATACTGTGTACGATAAGATATTTTGAGAGAGACAGAGAGGGAGGGAGAGACCACATTCACACAACTCTTATTAGGGTATATTGTTACAATTGTTCTATTTTATTATTGTTGTGAATCTCTTACTGTGCCTATTTTATACATTAAATTTTACCTTAGGTATGTATGTATAGGGAAAAATATAGTACATGTAAGTTCAGGTTTCCACTGGGGCTCTTTTTTTTTTTTTTTTTTGAGACAGAGTCTCGCTTTTGTTGCCCAGGCTAGAGTGAGTGCCGTGGCGTCAGCCTAGCTCACAGCAACCTCAAACTCCTGGGCTCAAGCGATCCTCCTGCCTCAGCCTCCCGAGTAGCTGGGACTACAGGCATGCGCCACCATGCCCGGCTAATTTTTTCTATATATTTTTAGTTGTCCAATTAATTTCTTTCTAATTTTAGTAGAGATGGGGTCTCGCTCTTGCTCAGGCTGGTTTCGAACTCCTGAGCTCAAACAATCCGCCCGCCTCGGCCTCCCAGAGAGCTAGGATTACAGGCGTGAGCCACCGCACCCGGCCTTCCACTGGGGCTCTTGGAATGCATCCCCCAAGGATAACGGGGACTCTGTATAAGTGGGGGCAGGGCTAATCACATACCTCTCTTCCCGGCGTTGGAAAGAAGGACAATATGACACAAGCCTCTCAGTGAAAGACCCCAGTCGGGGCAGTGATGTCCTCGAGCCCTCGGCCCACCTGCCTCTGCATCTCACCTTCGTGCCCCAAGCAGCCAGCCTGAGCTCTGTTTGCTCTGGGAGGCGTGGAAAGAGCCACCTGGCTTCAGTGCACCTTGGCAAAGCTCCGAGCCCAGAGCTGCAGCAGTGCTGGGACCATAGAAGGTGTGTGGGATGTTTCTAGTGATGTTTCTGCTAACTCGAGACTTGGACATGAGGTGTGACAGTTCTGTGACATGATGATGGAGGGGGAGCTGGAATTAGGGATGTTAGGCAGGGCCGGGAGGAGGCTGGGCAGCCAGGTCTTGGGAGCTGCTTGGGCTGATGGCAGGGACGGGGAGGGGAGCCACGGCTGATAGCTCCTCCTGGGAATGTCATAAGACCCTGCACTGGGGTGGCGTTCAGCCTGTATGTGATAGGAGGTGTATGGGCCACCAGGTCCAGTGTGACAAGCCTCTTGTCCACCTGAGGGTCATGGAGAAAAACTTTTGAGTTTTTCTTACTCAGCCACCAAATTGCTCTGTGACGTGGGCCTTCAGTCTTCCCATCTATAAAATGGGTCCACAGGCTTTCGTCACCCCTGAGCCCTTTCTTGGCTTTTTTCCGTGAGTCCGTATCTACATATTCACCTATTTTCTAGTGAAGTCCCAGCAGCACTGGGGCTGCCACAAAATGACCATTTTGGGTCCCAGGGAGTGTGTGGCGGGGCACAGACCTGCGGTGTGGACTGTTGCAGGCTGACTCCTGGCGCTGGGGCCCCCCACGTTGAGGGCTCGCACGTAGATCAGGTAGCTTTGCCCGGGCTGCAGCTGCACCAGGGACTCGCAGGTCGGGATGCCCACAACGGACCTGGACGAGGAGCAGAGCGGCAGTCAGCGTGGGGACCGGGCATCTGGGCCCAAGCGCCAGGCAGCCCTTCCAAAGCTAGGAGGTTTAACTCAGTCTCGTGCCCCCATCTTCTGACCACAGCGGCGCCGCAGCGGCTGCCCCTGGGCTCCCCACTGCAGCCTCTGAGCTACTTTTCTCACGTTGCTGTTACTGCTTGTGTTTGTGGCTGTCCCCTCCAAGCTCCCCAGCCTGGCTTCCCAGCCACCCAGCACCCAGGCATCTGTCTGACTGGCGCGTCCAGATCCGGTGCGCCGCCGTGTGTCTGTTAGATTGTCACCTACCTTGAGGGGAGGGGCCGGGTACCACTAACGTCGGTACAGTGCTGGGCCCACGGAAGGCCCCCAGTCCGAGTTTATGAACACACGACTCTGACTAGAGCTGAAAGGGCACGGAACCCCCTGCCCTTACCCCCTTGAGGACAGCTGCATACTGGGAATTCTCCGATTTATTTCAGTCGTGCTACGCAGGAATACAAGCCCATACTCGCCACTGTCTGAGTTGCTGTGGTTGCCGACCCCATTTCAGTCCAGTGGGCAAGAGACGCGTTTAGGTGATGCCACACCCTCACCCAGACGAGGTCAGGCTGTCCAGGTCATCTCAGCGGCTGCAGCTCCAGGCCAGAGGGAGCTTTTACTTATTCACCCAGTAAACATTAACTGAGCTGCTTAGGTTCCAGGCACTGTATAGGGAGGCCCTGGGGCAAACCGAATATAGTCCCCGCCCTCACAGAGCTTACAGTCTGGCTGGGAAGAGAGGTGCTCCTTGAGCAATCACTGGAAGAAATGTAGGGTCGTAACTGTGGTAAGTGGACAGTGAGCTATAGAGTTTATATGGGGCTGACTTTTGAGCAGAACTCTGAAGAATGATTAGGAGGTAACTGGATGAAAAGAGGATGGAGAAGCTTCCTACACAGCAGAAGCATACGCAAAGGCCCTGTGGCAGGAAGGAGCATAGGAAGTAGGAGGAACTGAAACATGACTGATGCGGCGGGAGCTGGAGGGGGTGGGGAGCTGGTGCAGAGGGGCTGGCGAGGCAGGAAGGGGCCGGAGCCTGTGTGGGAGTTTTGCCTTTTCTGTAGCAGTGGGCGCCATGATTGGGTTTGTACTGGGAGAGTCATCACCAACCACCTCATAGGTCATCTGTCAGGTTGCTGACCAGCCCTCTGATTGATTATTATGGGTTGGTCCCAGGTGTCAGGTCCTAAACTATCAGCACAAATAGCAAAGGAAACCTGAACCATTAGGGTGGCCAGAACACTGGCCCCCGGCCCCTCTCCTGTACCTCAGATACCACGGTTGGCTGTGTGTGGCTGGGGGTGAGATGCAGGTTCCCAGCCCGGCATTTCGCAAAGAAGAATCTGCCGCTCTAACAGCCGACACCAAATACCCGCTCCATGTCTCCAGAGCCGGGTCAGCGCGTCCCTGTGCCACACAGCAGGGCAATGCCCCGGCGACGCGGCTGGGACTGGGCTGCCTGGTTGTCAACCAGAAGGACATCCACGCTTCCTCCCCGCGCACAGCTGCAGGCTCCTGAGGTCTGCAGGCCCTGGTGGTCACCGAGTCCAGCCCCCGCCTGTTCGTGAACCCTCCAGCTCTCTGACAGCCAGGGTGACCTGGGCCTCCGCACAGCCTTCTGTGATAGACGCAACGTTCTTTGTACACTGAGCTGCTCTCGCTCTCGCTCGCTCTCTCTCTTTTTTTCTTTTTTTGCCCCATGCTCTTCCCCCTCTACTCCCTGAATTCCAGCCGGCGGGTCCCTCCAGTCTCGCCAGTACAACCCACTCACTCCTACTGGGGCCTGTGTCCCTGCACCCCGAACCCACGGATTTCAGGGCTCAGTCTTTCCCACCTGTTGGGCCTCAGTTGAAACGTCCCCTCCATCCCGAGCAGACCCTCACTCCACCCCACCCTCTGTCTCAGTACGATTCTTCCTGCTTCCTCACACCACGCATCTTGCACGTCGCTCTGTTGTTTGCTTTTCGTCTGTTTCCCCACGTGACCGCCCGCTCCGCGAGGACAGGGGTTTGTCTGTCTAGTTCCCCGGTGCCTGGCACAGGGCCTGGCACCACCCAGGTGCTCACTGCTTGTTGAATGAATGAATGAATGAATGGTTTGGGGCTTGAAAAAAAGCAAACATGAGGTTAAACTTACTTGTTCATTCATCCTTCACCTTCAGTCATCGCATTCCAGCTACTCACGAAAACGAGGCCACCTAAGTCAAGGTTCCCGTGTGTCACAAATGCTGACCTTCTCTCCAGACCCCGCACGCTTCCTAAGCCACGTCACTGTGTCAGGTGTCACACGCCCAGCAAATGCCCTCGTGACTCACTCAGTTACGCCGGGGGCCTCTGGCCCTGCCGCCCGGGTCAGCTCCAGGGTGTACGAGTCCACGGGGTTCAGGTTTCCAGACTCCCAGCAAACCAGTGCAGCCTCTTCGCAGCTCCTTATCTCATCGGTTTTTATGATGGGGGGCGAAGGCGCTAGTGTGGGAGAAAGGGACAGACAGCGACTGCCGTGCTCACGGGCAAACCACGCCCACCCTCCCCCCCACAGAGGAGACTCGGTGCAGTCAGCAGCAAACAGGGAATCCCTTTCAGGTGTTCCTGCAGTGGAGGCTGGTTTTGATGTTCAAATGTCAGTGTGACCTAGAGTAGCACTTTTTGTTATTTTGAGACCAACCATGAGAAAATGTCCCTGTCACACCAGACATATAGATTTGGTGTATTAAATAAAAGAAAAAACAGTACACAGCTCTTCTGCCCTTCCAGATGAAATCACAAGCCCTGCCGTGTCTAGGAACCCACGACTCTCGTCCCCGTGAACAGCGGCTCCGCTACAGAACACGAGCGGCCCCCTTACCTGTCATGTATACCGCACGCTCACTGGGGGGGCTGGGGCCAGCCCTGTTATGAGCTGTCACCCAAAATTCATACTGAGTATTTGGCACAAGTTTCATCACTGAGCAATATGTTTCTTTGACGGTCACGGTAAACTCTGGGGAAAAAAAAGAAAGACAAGAATTCAACTCTGAAGGTAGGCCACGTGGCTCCAAATTCCTTGTGCCGAATCCCACTGCAGCAGGTGCCGAAACTGGCTGCAGGTTCCTCCCGTCCCCCTCTGCAGCGGGACTTTGCTGTGCCTCCCATTGAGAGGTTCCGCGTTTCTCGTGATCCTGGGAGCCGGGCTTAGCTCCGTGGCTTGCTCTGGCCAACGGGGCAATAGCAAACATGACGCAAGCCGGGGCTTGGGAAGAGCCGGTGCACAGGGGCTCGTCCTCCCGCGGCTGGGAATGCTCCACCTCCACGAGAGCAAGCCCGGGCCAGCCTCCTGGAGGACGTGGGACCACAGGGAGAGAGGCCTCAGCCACCCTAGACCATCCAGCCCTATCCAAGGTGGCCCAGACCAGAAAGACTGTCCAGCCAACCCACAGAATTGTAAGAAATAATAAATGTTCATTATCCACTACGTTGCAGGAGGGGGTGTTGTTATGCAGGAAAAACTAACTGGCACAACTCCAGACATTTCCAGAATCTTGAAAGGCTGTGATAACTCATGAATCCACCCTCTGATATTAGTTCCTATATAGCAAAGTGGCCCGTTTGAAAGATCTTCATACAGTGTCATGATGCAGCCCATTGCAATGGCTTCTGTGTGCCTGCAGGGGGCGCCGGCAGGGTAGATGCGTGGCAAAAGCCAGGGTTAATCAGGTCTGATTCTTGGTCCTCGACCTCCCTTTTCCAAGCTCTGCCTTTCCCCCATGTCCCCTTTCGTCCTGATGCTGACCACCTCCCCTTCCTCATCATTACTTAAACTTCCTCTTACTCCAGAATCCCCTTCCTGGCGGAAACACCGTCCTCACCTGGAGCTCGAGCCCTCCGCCCGCGAGGCCTGGTACACCTGCTTCTCATCCTGCTTCTCTCTGGTCTCAGTTTCCCCATCCATAAAATGGAGAGCTCTACGTCCCTTTCCGGAAATCTCACTCCGACCCACAGGCACGGGGCAGGCCCAGCAGGCCAGTCCCGATGCCCCGATTCCTTCAGAGGCTCCGCTGGGGCTGTCCTGTGTGTGACCCTCCCTCTCAACAGGAGGATGGCTTATTGGTTACCGAGGGGAGCGGGTGCCTGCCCCAGCCCCAGCCTCACGCCAGCCAGCCCCCTTTCCCTGGGCAGCGACGGGCAAGAGCTGCCCGCAGGAGCTGGCGCACCCTGGGAGCGTGGAGCCGGCCACCGGCAAAGGCCCTCGCGCCTCACGCGGTCTGCACACTAACTCCCGGGTTTCTTCTGCAGCACTGGGTTGCTCTGAGAAGGGCCAGCCCAGTCCTCACGTGCCAGCCGGGCCTCTCCCTTCCTGTGCACATTGCAGCCAGAGACGACCCTAAGGACCACTCCGACCTGATGGCTGTGGATGTGATCTGGACCCCTCGGCCTGGCCCGGTCGTCCTCCCAGGCTGGCGCCAGCTTGCCGTTCTAGCCCTTTCTGCCATGCTCACCTGCCTGCACCACCCCCCTGCTCCCCGTGCTCCCCATACCGTCTCCACCTTCCTGACTGCCGGGCAGGCAGGGCCCGGGCCTCTGTGAGCCGTTCCGTGAGCTTGAGCACGTTCCTGGCAGAGCCTCACCTGCTTGGTCCTTCCCAGGTGAGCTGTCCCGCACTGGCCGGTAGGACAGCTGGTAGCTCTCCACGGTGTCATCGGAGTACAAGCTCCAGCACACTCGGACTGAGGAACCCGTGGCTGAGTTGGGGGCCTGTGGATTTATCACTGGAGCAGAAGGAGCTAGAAAAGGAAATTAGAAAACAAAAATGAGGAGCCTTGAGCAGAGGTGTGGCGTGGGAGTGGCCCCTTTCACAGGCCCACAGGCCCCAGTGCATGATGGCCTTTGGGAAAGGAAGAGGCAGCCTGGAGCGGACACGGACAGGGACAGAGACGCAGAGCCTCCCCGCCCTGAGCCTGCAGATAACAACCTGCACTTCCCTTCTTGCTTTGAGGAATGCACGTGAGCTCGGGGAGCAGGGGCGGGTGACAGGGACTCGGGCTGGGATAGAGTTTGCAAGTCCTGCTGCAGGTTGCGGGTCCCCTTCTGGCCTCTCCATGGCATCTGAAGAGGCAGGACCACCAGAGTCACCGCACTGTCGCCCCCGCCCCGGAGCGAACAGAGGGAAAGACGCCTTCAACAGCAGGGAAGGAGAGGGGCGTTCAACACCCATCTTCCACGTGGCAGCCGGAGAAGATTGGGGTGGCCCAGTTGTGCTTTTCAGAACCAACTTCCCTGGAGTCTATCTATGAAGTTAATTCTTTTATTCTGCATAGGTGAATACTTCCGCCTCCTCTACCCCCCGGTCTCACACACAACAGAATGGAACGAGTGGTATTTGTCCTCCGTAATTCTTCTCCATGGCCGCACCTCTCTCCATCCCAGGATTTAAGAACATCCTTAGTTTCAAAACTTGGAATTGAGCGATCCAGGCAAGAGCACAGCTAAACTCAAAGGAGTTTATTTACCTACAGCTCATGCGTTCCTTTCTGCTCAGGGGCTGGAAGATTACAACGTGACACAGGCCAGGAGGAAGACAAAAAACTTATATCCCCAAATGACAAAGTCCAGGCCGCACAGAAGATGCCCTTCTGCACACTGTCAAAAACAGCTGCACCTAGAGGTGCAGTGTAAGAGGAGGGGCGATTCTGAGAGCATTTAGCCCCTCAGGAGGCACCAGATGCAAGCAGGAGGATGGTGGTCTGCACGGGACCTGGACACCAAGGGTGAGGGAAGATGTCACTCTTTCCCACATACTGACTTGGGCAATCGTGCCTTTCCTTCCCGATGACTAGGCCTGATTATTTGGGCAGCACCATCCCTAGGTGGGAGAAAGGACCCTCTAATGGATATCGCAGCTCGGTGAAATCCCCACTTGACCCAGTGATTCTAAGAATGGCCCCCAAGACCTATGATTAAAGATGTTCATTACAATATGGTTTATAACGGCAAAAAAAAAAAATAAGAACTCTAGAAACATCCTAGTATCCAACGATTGAGGATTAAGTAAACAAAGTATGTGGCCATTAAAGTGATGACACAGAATTTATCAGAAGGAGAAGATATCCATCATCATTGTTTTGCCAAGAAAAGCAGATTACAAAACAGATTTATTCCATTTTTATTAAAAAAAAATCTGTGCAAGAAAAACATGAAATGATATATACAGCATTGTTCGCAATCATGCTGTTTAGCGTTGCTGAGAAAGGGAAGGTGAGCCGTCAAAAAATGCTGAATCATAGAATTAGCCTTAGAAATAAGTAATCACAATCAGATTTTTAAAGAGCTATTTAGCACCATGTAATGTGCTGTACATACATTATCTCATTTAATTCTTCAATCCCTAGGAAGTGTTGTCATGTCCATTCTACAGGTGAAGAAACCAAGACTCAGAGAGGTTGGGTGAATTGTGCAGGGTCACACAGCTAGCAAGTGGCAGAGTTAGGATTCTCACCAGCTCCATAAAATTCCAAAGCCCATCTCTTAACCACTAGGCTAAAAACAGCCGCCCCAGAGGAACATAAATACAATGTTTAAGGAAATAAAAACTGGGCTTCTTGCTTGGCATAAATCAGGCAGGAAGGCAGGTGCTTAGGAAGCCGCACAGGCTAGGAACAAAAAGTATCTCAAGGCTGCCTAGAGCCGGGAGGGTCAGCCTCTGTTCTCACACTTACAAGCCATTAAGACAAAAACAGAAAGAAGGAAAAAATACTTGTTTCTAAATCTTTTTTATTTTTTTTTAGACATTGAAGGTTCTTACTCAAAGCTCAGGGAGTCTTTAGGGTTTTCTACCATAATACTGTGTCATCTACAAACAGAAAATTTACTTTTTCCTTTCCAATTTGGATGCCTTTTATTTCTTTTTCTTGCCTAACTGCTCTAACCAGGACTTCAGTGCTTCACTGAATAGAAGTGTTGAGCGTGTTCATCCTTGTCTTGTTTCTAATCTTATAGGAAAAGCTTTTAATTTTTCACTGTTGAGCATGATGTTAACTGTAGGATGTCATATATGTGTATTATGTTGAGTGTTTTTTTAATCAGGAAAGGGTATTGAATTTTGTCAAATACGTGTTCTGCATCCACCGAGATGATCATACGATTTTTATCCTTCATTCTGTTAATGTGGTGTATGACATTGATTGATTTGCTTGTGTTGAACTATCCTTGAGTCCCAGAGATAAATTCCACTTGATCATGGTGTATGATTCTTTTAATGTGTCATTTAGTTCAGTTTGCTCAAATTGTGTTGAGGATTTTTGCATCCGTGCTCATCAGAGACATTGGCCTTTAATTTCTTTCCTTGTAGTGTTTTTGTCTGGCTTTGGTATCAGGGTAATGCTGGTCTCACAAAGTGAATTTGAAAGTGTCTTCTCCTCTTCAATTTTTTGGAAAAGTTTGAGAAGGATTGGCGTTAGTTCTTCTTTAAATGTTTGTTAGAATTCACCAGTGAAGCCATCTGTTCCTGGGCTCTTCTTTGTTGAGAAGTTTTTGATGACTCATTCAATTCTTTACTGATTTTTTTTCTTTTTGTTAACACAGTTCAGCCCGAATCCTTATTCATTATTGGTCTGCTCGTATTTTCTGCTTCTTCATGACTCAGTCTTGATAGGTTGCATGTTTCTAGGAATTTATTCATTTCTTCCAGGTTACCCAATTTTTGTGTGTGTCAATATTCATAGATCTTAAGAGATCCTTTGCATTTCTGTGGCATTAGTAATATCTCCTCTTATTTCTAATTTTATTGATTTGAAATCCTCTTTTTTTCCCTTAGTCTAGCTAAAGGTTTTTCAATTTTGTTTATCTTTTCCAAAAACAACTCTCAGTTTTGTCGATCTTTTCTATTGTTTTCTGTTTCGTTTATTTCTGATCTAATCTATATTATTTCCTTATTCCCTTATTTCCCCTAAATTTGGGCTTAGCTTGTTCTTCTTTTTCCAGTTCCTTGAAATGTAAAGTTAGGTTTGTTTATTTGAGATACTTCTGAGAAGGGTTCCATTTCTGAGATGGTTAGTAGCACTCTGGGCTCTCAGATGCTTCTTCTTTCTTAATGTAGGCACTTACCACTACGAATTTCCCCCATTGTACCACTTTTTATCAAAAAGCATCCTTGTCAGTGAGGATGTAGAGAACTGGAACCCTCATACGCTGTTAGTGGGAACATAGAGTGATACAGCCCATGGGAAACAGTGTGGCGGTTCCACAAAAATATTAAAAATAAGCTGAGCATGGTGGCTCGCACCTGTAGTCCCAGCTGCTCAGGAGGCTGAGGTGGCAGGATTGCTTGAGCCCAGGACTTCAAGGCCAGCCTGTGAAACAAGCAACACCTCATCTCAAAAAAAAAAAAAAAAAATTAAAAATAGAACTATCATGTGATCCAGTAATACCACTTCTGGGTGTGTATCCAAAAGAATGGAAATCAGGATCTGGAGGAGAGATCTGCACTGCGTGTTCAGTGTAGCATTTGCTGTTCACTATAGCCAAGGTATGAAAACAACCTACGTCCACCAACAGATGAATGTGTAAAGAAACTGTGATCACTCACACACACACACACACACACACACACACGTGTGCGCGCTGGAGTATTATTCAGCCTTAAAAAAGAAGATTCACCCATTTATGAGATGGATGAACCGCGAGGTCATTATGCTAAGTCATATATGCCAGTCACAGAAGGACAGACACTGCGTGATTCTACTTACGTGAGTTACATAAAACAGCCACACTCGTGGAGGCAGAGGACAGAATGGTAGTTGCCGGGGGCCGAGGGGAGGAGCAGATGGAGACTGATTGCTCAATGGGTGTGAAGATTCAGTTATACGAGATGAGTAAGATCTAGAGATGAGCTGTACAACATAGTTCCCGCACCGAACAATACTGCATTGTACCCTTTAAAATATGTTAAGGGGATAGATCCCATGTTAAGCAGTCTCACCACAAGAAAAAAAAAAGAGCTCCAGGGAACCCGAGCTTGCCGAGAAGCACGCGCCCGGGTGAGATCCGCACCTGGAACGGCATTAATGGAGCCCATGAGCTGCTCTACGTCAGAGAAGTCCAAGGTCTGGTCTTCAAAGTCAGGCTGCGCGGAGATTTCCACATCGGTTTTTGTTTTCAGGAATTTCCCGAGTCTGTTGGTGTAAAAAGACATGTCAACAGGAATGCAGGGACATTCTCCTCAGGGTGTATCTATAGTACAGCGGTCACTAGCAATCCCCGAAGAGGGCCTTTTCGCTGAACTTTCATTTTCTCAGTTTCACATGCTGTTGGCTGCTGTCTGCCATCTGCTTTGGTGACTGACCTAGGGGTTGCCAGTGGGGGTGGGGGGATTGGTTTGTGCTTTGAGGAGGAGGAGAAAGGGTGGGGTCATGTCAGAGGATGGGTGGGGGACATCTGCCAGTAAGATCCAGGTCCACACCCTCCGGAAGATCCCTCAGGTGCTAACCTGGAAGTTCCCACCCCAAGTCACTCCAGGACCCAGAAGGCAAGGAGGGCTCGAACTCTCTGGGCTTCCTCTCTGTGTGGCCCTCGGCCCTCAAGTTTCTGATCGTGGGACTCTGGGTCTCCTTGCACCTCTTCCTGATGGTCACGGGGTTTGTATGTGGCAGAGGCAGCATTTGGAACCAGGTGTGTCTTTGCCGAAACCCATGCATTTAACCCTTACATCATTACGCTTCTGTGTTTATGCTGCTTTATAGACATGACCTAATTCGCATCTCCTAAAGCATCCTTGTTTGTAGACAAGGTGGGCCCTAGTCTGGCTGGACTTGCCCAGGGTCATGGGGGTAGCGGAATCTGAACTGCTGCCTGTGTGACTCTAAAACGTGTGTGTCTTCTGCAGCCACACGGTCCGAGTCCTGGCACAGCTGGACGACATTGGGGGTGCTCCCAGGTCTCGGTTCCTCCTGGTGAAATGGGGGGCTGTGGAAGAGCTGACCATGGCTCTCAGCCTGGGCCTCACCATACTCGCCCCCTTCCGTCCCCGAGAACCTGAGCTCAATACCTAGAGGCTCCTGGTGACCCCACGACGTCATTCTGAAGCCAGTGCTATTGTACTCTGAGGATCAGACACGAAAGCTGAAACTGGGAGCGTGTAACAAGTGGAACTGATTCTACTTGGCAATCAGAGGTGCAGGAACAGAAAAGGAAAATGCACGTCAGAACAAACGTATTACCTGTCGGCCATCAGCACCGCATCCTAAAACGGAAAAGGAGAAATATTAAATTGATTTTGGAAATAAATTTCTTTTTACAGTTATATAGTAACATAAACATACTAGAAAACTTGGAAATTAGGAAAAAGATAAAAGGCAGCCGCATCCCACACCCTGACAAACCGCCCCTGCCCACGGGTGTTCCTCCACGCCAGGCGCTGCTTTCCCCGTGAGCACCGTGCGGGCGCTGTCCACGTCGCTCACGGTCTGCGGGGCCGGCAGCGCGCGCCTGCGTGACAGTTACTTACGAACAGTTGACGAATGGAAACTCCGTCATTTACTTGACTGTTCCTCTAGTATTGGATATTTGTGGTTGTTTCCAATTTTTTACCATCGTAAATAACGGCGAGGAACACCTTCACGTTTGTCCCTTTGTCCACATTCCGGACACAGTGGCACCGTGGGATGAGCATTCATGGCTCTCACGGTGTCTGCCAAATTGCTCCCCAGCTTCACTTGCGGGTCCCTCACCCCGAGCATAGCAGGGAGGAGGCGCTGCTGGGCTCTGAGGGGTGACTGTGGGCTTGGAAAACGTAGGGCCCACACTTGGCAATGGGGCAGGTCTTGGCAATGATTTCTTGAATTTTCCCCCCACATCCTGGACACCACATCTGCCCTATACTCCTGTGGGACCTTGTGAAGAAAGGGGACTCTGGCTCCAATTCAGATTGAAATTTCCACACCCAACCACCTCGAGGATTGGGTCAGATTTCATCTGAATTTGAGAAAATTAGGAAGTAGATTTTTTTTTTTTTGCATGTCTGAGTTTCCGAAGATGTTTAATTGCTACACTTGTAACTGGGAAATTTAAGGTGCCCTTTCAGCCTTGACAACTTTCCCTCCAGAGCTCCAAGAGGCCATCTGAGGTGGCCAGAGCACGGTTTCTGCTCGGCTCCAGGGTGAGGGGACAGATCTCTGGGTAACCAGAACGGAGGAGCAAAGCACTGGTGGAGGGACGGAGTCAGCGTGTGTGCACCTGCCCCGCCCCTCGTGTGGAAGCTAAGCAGAGAGATGGGGCGACAGCCTCCCCATCACCGATCCGGTGGAATCAAACGGATACAGACGCCTCTAGGAGGAGGGAGGGCAGCCTGACCTACCCGAGCTGAACCTGTCATCTCAGTTCATAATTCCATGTCTTCCCTTTACCATCATTACTGACCTTTATGAAGTCAACCTTCTCCTCGTGACACATCTCCTCTATCGTTTCCATCAGTTCTTTGCAGGTGTCCAGGTTTTCTCCACAGCTGACCAGCTGTCCGTATAAGGCTTCCAGCTTCTCTTTCTTTTTCTCCCCTAGAGCTTGTATTTTTTCTTCATATTTCTGAGCAAGTGTTTCCAAGATTTCATTGTAATGTGACTCAAAATTTTGTTCTTGTTTTCCAAAATTCTCCTGCAAGACAGCTGACCTCAGTCATCATTTCAGTGCATGTGGTGTGTTGATTAGAGTCATCAGGGGCATGAAAATGTGTCTATTCAGAGCTGCTTTAGCCCCTCCACTTTGTCTCGTCATCTCTTGCCAGGATGTTGGGGTGGAAGCTGGAGAAGCTGGGACCCAGGAGTCCTCAACCTAGAACCCCAGGAATACTCTTAACAAAAGCACTGCTGTCTCTCCTGGCAGCAGTTTGCAATCCTCCCCCGGTTCCAGCTACCTCCTATCACCATGACAACTGGCCGGGGAGATGATCAGGAACAAGTCACTGCTGCTGCACCTTGGACCTTAGTGCAGAACTATTTTCCCTGAGAGATTCCCACCCATCATCCCTTCCTGATATCTCAGCATCTCAGGATGCTCATCCTCACTCCCTGGTGTTTGGATCATACAAATACCAAGTTTACATCAACTAGGATCAACAAAGGGAACCATGAAAGCAGAGGGAACAAAGGTTGTGGCTGGCGGCACTGCCTAGTAGATAAGAAAATGCAGGGAGGCAGGGGGAGGGTTCTGGCAGGACTTAATCTAAGAGCACAATAGATGAGAAATAGTAAGTAGAGTATAACAAGTCCTGGTTCCCACCACTTATATGGTAAGCGCAGGAGAGCTCTCAGGGTTCTGACTGATGTCATCTTCATTAGGTGATGGGGACGTTTCCAAAGAACGGGCTCTTGCCAATCATTCAGGGCGTATTATGAGCACGTGTATGTGCATAGGACTTGCTAAGAATGGTGGGAGGGAGGGGAAAGCCATAGATGACTCCCCAGTGTTGAGTATGAAAGGACGGCCTCAGAGCCCCCTCTGAGGCTGAGGATACTTTGGTCTGAGAGTAAGCTGGCGAGCAGTGCAAGGACTTTCGTCTTGGGCGTGACCCACTCTACCACCACCCTGTGCTGGGCAGCGAAGACCTTGCCCCTTCCCTGTGCCTTCCACAGGGGATTAGTGCAGTGGATCTCCTCCCCTCTAAGACTGGGGGTGAAGAAGGCCTAGTTTCATGGGAAAGGGACCCGGGTCCTAGGTAATTCATATGAGGAGCCCTGTTGATGTAGTCTGAGGCTGCGTAATAGAAGCAGAGCATCCACATGAAGAGAAGAGAGAGGGACGTCCCGGGGTCCTCAGCCCTGGTTTACCTCATCTGGAAAGTCGGGCTGAGCTCTGGCATCACAGTGGTGTACTGCGTTCCTACTAGGGCACACCCAGGGGACTGTGACATGTTTGGTGACAGGCATGGAAACATTAACCTTATGAGAAATAGAGAACATCTGAGGAAGAGAACATTTCTCAAAGACAGAACGGGTACGTTGCAGCGCCGTATCAAGGCTGGCCGATGAACGAGAGACTGGCCTTGTTCTGTGAGGCTCTGGGGGGTGCGGGCCGGTAGGACCAGCTAGCAGAAATCACAGAGCAGCTGCGTCTAGCTCAGTGGCCTAGGCCTCGGGATCAAGAGGCTGCATTCTTTCCCATGTCGGGACGGAGAGACAGAGTTCGTCAAAGGGTGGAAAGTCCCTTCTCATCCTGGAATTCTAAATTCTTACTGATCTCTCAGGAAAGTATGGAAATTTCTAACCAGACAAAGACAACACAAACTTATTTTTTTTTAACCCATGCACAGCTAAAAGTATGCCTGCGCTTGAGGAGCAATAACTGGCAGAAGTGGGTATTTTGCCTCTTAAAGCAACTAAAAGCTGTTAGACAGCCCACACCTGACTTTCCGCACTCAACACTGTAGGTTCCCCCAAAGGCCTAGAATTGACAGCCCCAAAGAACAAGGAAACAACAGGGAAACTCACCGTCTCTGTTTACAGAGCCAGTGCACCAGATAGTACCCAAGGGATTGTCAGCGAGACAAACAACAACAACAAAACCAGGGCAAAAGAAAGCTGTTCACCTCACCACCCGAGCTCAAACGAGGGGCCTTCACTGCACGATGCTGCCATTTAGTCATCTTTGTTAGAATAAGGGTCTAAACCATGTGGTCTAAACGATGTCAATTGGTGATTTGGTTAAAGGGGCATGAGGAGAAAAAGGAGCTAGTGAAGGAGAAGGATTGTGATTGGCAAGTTTCTGCCTTATTTTTTCATGCAACAAACATGTATAAAATGTCTGCTCCGAAACGCACCACGTGGTAGGACTGGGGCTACCGAGACACAGAAGACCCAGCCTCCCACTGGGAGTTCACAGCTCGGCAGGGACAGCTGACAGGTAATCAGTTCCACGAGATGTGCACCCAGCTGCTGTGGCAAGTCAGGGGTAGGGGTGAGGGGAGAGGGGCAGTGGTGACCTCTCACATTCTAAGAAAACAGATTTTTTAACTTATGCTAGAAACAGCTTCTTGACCTAGCCATGGTGCAGGCATGTGTGTGTGTCCGATGAAGTGCTCAGGTGTGCTCTTACCTCCACCGTGATGAAAACCTCCTCCAAGTGGTTGGCAAAGTTTTCCATCTCGAGAATCTGCTTTTCCAATTTGTACATGTTTTTGTGAATTTCATCCTATCCGACAGAGGATCACAAAGAAGGTGTTAATCTTTTCTCTCTCTTTTGCAGAAGGCATTCTTAAATTTATTCCCTGCCCACATACTTGAGATATGAATATGATACCGAGACAAAGAAGAACCAAGGAGACCAGTTTACCTTGGCACTTTCCAGGGCTTTATTGAGGGGGATCACTTCATGCTCCTTGTGTTCATCAAAAACCTTCTGAAAAGCTCTTATTGGAGTTTTGCAAGTGACACAGAAGACATCAACAGCTTCCTCCTCATCCTCCTCTTCCGGGATGACGTAGCATTCGTACTCCTCACTGGCTCGGCCGTGTGCGTACCTGTAGGCTTCCCGCAGGTCCTGGCACTGACCTGCCGAGCCCCACCCTCCGAGGCCCAGGTCCTCGGCCTCTGCCACCTCTCTGGTAAGTCTCCAGTCTCTCTGCTCCCTGGCTGGGTCTCTCCTCTTCATCATATGAGGAGGATACTCTGAAACCCCCATCCCGGGCAAGTTTTCATCAACAAACTCATCCCCTAACTCGTGATCGTCTTCAAGTCCGTATAAGTGGACAAGTTCATCCACTTCCTCTTGAAGGTCTCTTTGAACCTTACCATCCCCTGCCCCTCTTGGCTCATGGCTCATTTCAGCCTGGACTACTTCCCTCCTCATCCTAACGTTTGGATCTGGGAAGATCTGCAGCCTGTCTTCAGGGTCATACAGATCCGCGTGATAAAAGTGGAAGTCCCCGGGAGAAGACCTGTCCAGCCCCAGTTCCTCCCCGGCTTCCTCCTCCATTGTGACTCTGGAAGCCCTGGGAGTGCCTTCGTACAAGGTCCAAAGGTCCTTCCTGGACAGTTAATAGTGAATATCCTGGGTCCTGGGACACGAAAAGAAAGGGAAAAAATCAGTTCCTGAGGAGGTCATTGCCGCCGACCTTCATGGCTAGGGTGGGCTCTGCTCATTCACAATTTAGAAAAAGAAACCACCTGAGCCTGGGGTGGTGTCACTTTGGACCACACCTTTGAATCTGTAAAGAAAGTTTTGTTTTCTCTAGGAGGATGAGCTTTCTAAGCTTAAAAGACAGGAGAAATCGCAAAAGAAATGTCAATAGATATGGTTAATGAAAGACTTCTATACATTTTTTTTAAAAAACTTAAAATGTAGGCAAAATAATGGGAAGAGTCTCAGGCAATTGTTATTTTTAAAAATTGTATAAATCATTCTGCAGAAGAATGGACTCAGTGAAAAAATTAAAAACAAAAATTTGTATAAATTAATTGAAAAAGATCTCAATAGATGAATGTACACACGGTTCATGAAACAATTGCTTTTGTATGTGATACGACCTGCACAATAACATTTGCAAACCTGTTCGTACTTATCAGCAACAGAGAAAAAATAAAGAAGATGCGATTTTGCCTTTCCAGTTAGTGAGTATTTTAAAATACATTAATAAAATGATGCGTGAGGCCGGGCCGGGGTGGGCGCTCTCACGTGCCGCTGGTTGGAATGTGAACCGGTGCCGCCTTTCTGGAGAGCAAATTTGGCAACCTGGCTAAGGAGCCTTAAAAATGTTCACACTCTTTCACCTAGTTATCCTCTTCTGAAACCTAGAGGAAAAATCCCAAATACAAGGAAAAAATTACTTTTATATAAAAATGTCAACCACAAAAAATTTCATAATTTTTTGAAAAGGTCTAACGATGGGGAGAAAGGCTAAGCCAACTAGAGCAGGTACACGATTTGGAATACAAAGCAGCCTTTAAAATGTTCATGGAGAGCAAATGATAACTTGGAGAGTAAAATGAACAGAATACTTAGTATATGTAGAATACGATGTTCACTATTTTAACAAAGGTATATAACATCTAGAAAAATGTAATAACTATAACAGTAGTAGTAATACAATATTAGTAGCAGCTACACCGTTGAACACTGAGCGTGTGCTCTCTCTGTGCGAGGCAGTTATGTCTATGACGTTCTCCTTGCATCGACCCCATGCAGTAGCACTGCTATTGTCCTCATCTCATAGATGAAGAAACTGTGGGTCAGAGAGTGTGTCCTGTGCAAGGTCCCACCGTTAGCAAGTTGTTAAAATGGGATTTGAGCCCTAGTCTGTGCGGCGGCCATGAGACCGTACTGCACAGATGACCAACTACAGGGAGCGCAGTTGACGGAGGCTTCAGTTGCACTCTGACCTCCACTGCCGCTGCCCGGAGAACACAATTCCCACACACGTCTGCCATCCAGCCACAAGGTGCGGCAAGGATGCGGAAAAGGAAGATCCATTTCTGGTTGACACAAAACTCCTCCGATGGCCAGTTTTGGCCGGAGGACTCCCCGACACCTTGCGTGGCAGGCTGGGGCGCTTCCCGAGCTTCCCTCCGCTCTCCTTCACGCAGGGTCAGGCTTGGATCATGGTCTGATCCATGTATATATACACACATACACAATTGTTGTGCATTTCTGGTGGATTGACTCTTTCATAATTATCAAATGTCCCTCTTTATCTCTCGTAATGTTTTTTTTGTTTTAAAGTCTTTTTTCTGATGTCAGTATAGCCACTCTGCTTTCTGGTGGTTGCTGTTTACATGATGTATCTTTTACCATCCGTTTAGTTTCAATCTATTTGTACCTTTGAATCTAAAATGTGAATCCTGTAGACAACATACAGTTGGCTGTATTATTAATTTTTCTTATCTATTCATTATGAAAAGCTTCCTAAGAATTTCTAAATGACAACACTGTTGGAGTAGTTCAAGTTTGATGTCTTCTTCCAGGTAACAAAACGGCATTTCCTATGAAATAATATACCACACCCCCGAAGAAGAGTCCTCCTCAGAACCTGATAATTAACATTCCAATTCTCAGTTTCGTAGTAATAGTAAAACAGAGGTTAGGAAAGAAGATTAGCAACCACAAGTCTGCCGAGAACTAAAGAAGTGACATCAGAGGAAGACGGTTTACTACAAAGAAGTATTAAGCTATGATAGGAGACTGACTATAGAAACTAACGAGGGATCAACTGGACAGGGTTCAAATTTCATCGAAGAAGTTGTGCATACCACCCACGTCGTGGCCAACAGGCTCACTTAGTTGTCCTGGCCAGAGCTGGTCCACGTTGCCATGTAAGCAAGAGAAACACACAGAGACACAGGTGAACCGAGGCTGGCTGGCAGGTGACCAGAGTGCGCTGAAGTATTGGTGGAGGCATCAGGTACGTTAGGAAAACCAAGGAAAGACCCCGAGTCAGCGTCACCCAGACAAGCTGCTCTCAGAATCTTGACCCTCAGAAACCATACAAAATAACACATATTTGTTACTTTCAGCTGGCACATTTTGGAATAATTTGTTATATAATGATAGATAATGAATACGTTATGCCAGCCTGAAAATAACCTTCTTTGCACCTGGCTTTCCCCTTTTGCTACCGTGTTCTCTCCCTCTTCTCTTCGCAGTCAGGCCGATTCTAAGGGGGTCACTTACACCGCCGATTTCCAGACTACAGCAGATGCGTTAATACACGAAGACCTTCCAAGGGTCACACGGCATAAATCGCTGTGGGTGTATGAGTTTCCACGTGCTCACCCTTACGTTTAATCTTGCCCAGCGCTGCTCCGCCTGGGAACCAGCCAGCACTGGAGGCTTCGTGCAGATTCTCTTTGCACAACAGCCATTCTTCTCCTTAACACAAAAGTAAAACCTGACCTCCTATTCATTCTGAATATTACATTGCGCTGTAAGATTTATTCCGTGGGAATTTTTTAAATCTCCAAGGGGCTAAATGAAAGGACCATTTGAAGTATTGGTATCAATATTGAGAGAGTGAATGACATTAATGAATGGGTAAGAAAAAAGTTTTTCAAGCTGAGTGGTTTCTAGTTCTTTGCTTTCAACAAAATTGAAGGAGGATCTAATCAAGTTGTCAGCTAATATATGATTAAAAATAATTTTTCATGATAGATCACTATATAATTTTTGGCATATATTTCAGAAAAAGTTCAAGGAATCAAGTGTCATTACTATAATAAAGTGCTTTCATTTCCATCTACTGATGTAGGTGAGCAAGGTTGCTCAGTGCTTATATCCACAAAATGAAAAACAGGAAGATAATTGACTAATTTCTGTTGCATTCTAGAATATGTAATTTTCATCTTTGGATACATAAATTTTTTTTTTAAAAAAAAAGCCCCATCCACCTCATTAAGAGATGCATTTCCATTTTATTTCTGTTTAATAATTATCAAAATTTGTGATGTATTTATGTTGTTTTTCTTAGATGTGACTAAAAATTATAAGTATTGGTAACTTAATCCTGAAGAACAAAGAGCTTACTATTTATTTAGAGACTTGTGGTTCCAAGAAAATATGAAAAAAATTTAAATCTCAAGTTATATATGTGTATTTTTGTGGAGAATCATCACAGGTGACCAATGAGAGACTTTCCAATCATAGAAAAACATTACATTAGGGTGAAATTCTGTTGAGAAGTGAAACAGAAATACAAATTTAAGGAGAAAAAAAGAACAATGTAAAATTTCTAATGTTATAGAAGAGTTTGTTCTTGCATTTTTTAAGACACTGGATGAAGGGTATGAAGTTGCTGGTATTTAAGAGTCTCCACTGAATAAACTAAAAAGGGTTATAAAGTAGTTTTTCAAAAAAATATGACTATTTATAATATGCCAGAAAGTATATCTTTTGCAACGATTTTATACTGCATATAGCTTTATGCAGATATAATTTACACACCATAAAGTTCACCCTTTTAAATGTACAATTTGGTGTTTTCAGCATATTCACAGAGTTGCATATTCACACTTTCATTACCCCTGAAAGAAGCCACCTACCCATTAGCGATTATTCCCCACTCTCCTCTCAGCCCCAGGTAACACTAATCTACTTTTCGTCTCTATGGATTTGTCTATTCTAGATATTTCATATAAATGGAATCTTACAATAAGTGTTTTTTTGTATCTGGCTTTTCAATGAGCATGTTTTCAAGGTTTATTCATGTTGTGGAATGTACTAGAACTTCATTACTTTTTATAGCTGACTAATATCCCATTGTAAAGATAGGTTATATTTTGTTTATCCATTCATAAGTTGATGGACACTTTGGTTGTTTCCACGTTTTGTGTATAAGTAATGCTGCTATGAATACTCATGCACAAGTTTTTGTGTGGACACGGGTTTTCGTTTCTCTTGGGTATAGACTGAGGAGTGAGTGCTAGATCATGTGGTAACTCTGTGCTTATCCTTTTGAGGAACTGCCAGACTGTCTTCTAAAGTGGCTTCAACATTTTGTATTCCCACCAACAGTGCATGAAGGTTCCAATTTCTTTACATCCTCCCCAACAATCGTTAGTGACTTTCTGATTAGAGCCATCTAGTAGGTATAAAGTGATACCTTATTGTGGTTGATTTGCATTTTCCATATGGATAATAATGTTGAACATCTTTCATGCACTTATTGGCATTTTTACATCATTGCAGAACTGTCTATCCCAATCCTTTGCCCATTGTGATGGTTAATTTTATTTTAATTAATTAATTTATTTTTAGAGACAGGGTTTCTCACTGTCACCCAGGCTGGAGTGCAGTGATGTCATTGTAGCTCACTGTAACCTCAAACTCCTGGGCTCAAGCGATCCTCTTGCCTCAGCCTCCCTAGTAGCTAGGACTACAGGTGCCCACCACCATGCTGCGGTAATTTATTTAAAATTATTTTTTTGTAGAGATGGGGTCTTGCTATGTTTCCCAAGCTAGTCTTGAACTCCAGACCCCAAGCGATC